GTCCTCCGCGTGTGGCCTTGTTACATTTTTTTTTCACGTTTCGGCGATTCTTTCACCAACAACAGACGTCACAGGACACTCTTTTTGAAGCAAATGAAGCACTTGCGAATGAAAACGTTTATTCGTAAGACTCTTTGGAGTGAGAACTACTGCATTGTACCATATGTTCGGTGATCATCTTGCACAGAGAACTTTTCTGCTACGGAGTAAACAATACCGTGAAAACGCCGTGAATTCGCCATCATGAAAACAAAAGTACCCCACGCCGTCTCCCTGACCTACTCGTCATGTGTTACGAGGTGAAAAAAAAATGTTTATGTATGTAGGAGTTAACGATTCTTTCGCTATGATGTGTTCTAATGTTTTACCATCCTGAATTCTCCGTAGTAGGAAACGTTTTTTCGCGAACATATTTAGTGTATACTACTCTACTAAGAACGACTTTTGGGCTAAAAAAACGTATTGCAATAAACGTGTGGTTTAAAAAAACTCAAGTGATGTCCACGACGTAACAGCCAAGGGCATGGTACAAAATTTATTTCAAGGGAGGGGTGAGAGGGGTTACATTACTTTTGTGTGCATTCGTGTATGCTTATGTTTTGCATATGTATGTGCAGATATATACACAAAAATGCAAAAAAAAATCAGGGGAAAAAAGAGAGTGGAGGTTAAACGAAGCCGTCAAACGTCAAGTGAATGGTAACAGCTAGCCACAAGAAAGTTTAATGTTTCGTCATCTACTTGGTATACATTACCTGAAACATAGATTTTAGGCACAGGTAACGATAAATACATTCATAATGTATTATAAAGTATAAAATAAATCCCCATATTGCTCCCACTTCCGTGTGCATAAATACTCAGTCTTTATTAAGCACAAGACTTCGTCAAAAACACGCAGTCACTTCCGCAGTTTTACTCATTTTTTTCGCATTTACTTTTGTTACGCAGATATTTGCTTTACTGTTACATTTGATCTGCGCAATGTTGGCATTCCAATGCCGCGTGTCTTATGACTGTAAAACGCGAAGGTCTGGCATTATGGAGGCTTCGCTGGGCAGAGTTCTCAATAATTTATTTTCCTAGGACATTCCTGTTTACAGTGAGCAGTCGTCGTCGTTTCATTGAACCGACGAATAGCGCGCGATAATTTCCGCCGATCATTCGACTTGTCATTTGTGATGTGAAAGTTATGCACATTAACAGATGAATGGCGAATTTCGAATATCATAAACAAAAGAAAGTCAGTGGTGATATAACGATATTTTATCCCTCCTATCGGTATGATTCGATAACGTATTATCACGGTAGGTGAAAGGAAAGTGTGTTACATTACCTCTATTACCTCTTATCATCTTCAGTTACCTTGACACCCAAAGCAGCCCAACGCTGTTGGTATCGTGCTTTTAAATGCGGTGAGCATCACGTACTCTCGTAAACTTCGTTCCGCTTTTGACCCGCCACGGCGGTCTACTGGCTAAGGCACTCGGCTGCAGACCCGCAGGTCGCGGGATCGAATCCCGGCCGTGGCAGCTGCATTTCCGATGAAAGCAAAACTGCTTGAGGCCCGTTGCTTAGACTTAGGGGCATGTTAAAGGGCCACTCACCAGGCCCCGTAACAAATTTTAGTTAGACCGTGGCAGTTCTTGTGTGTCCGATGATATGTGGGTTTAACGTCCCAAAACCACCATAGGCTTATGAGATACGCCGTAGTGGAGGGCTCCGAAAATTTCGACCACTTTGGGTTCTTTAACGTGCACTGTTGTGTGTCCGATGCAGAGAATTATGCCCAGAAAATTTTTCAGTCTGTTCATTGCAAGCTGAGCAAAATGGTATTTTGAAGCGGCGTGGCAGGATGATGCGAGGAGGCGAGCTCGAAACCCTTGCCGCTCGCCCCGCGTAGCCTTCGCAAGGCAAATATCTTCCCTATCTTCTTCGGCATCCGAAAAAACGGTCACGCACGTGTAATCTCCCCGAGCAAGCCCTATACTACCTCCGAAGACGCGAACGGCATTGTTTTGTTGACCAACGTTATTTTGTTGTCTAATGCTTGTTTCTGCGGGATGGGTGTCTCTGTAAGCGCTCGTTTAGAAATGATGGCTTAGACGCAGTAGAATAGATGAGCGTACTGCGTGCCCGAACGTGCAGGACCCTTAGTTTCGTTTCCAGGGCTGGCGTTCGCTCAATGCGCTAACTGCGGCGAAATGAACGCATGTGAAACGCAGGCACATTAGCCCCGCATCTCGTTGCAATTCACGAAAAAAAAATTGACAGCATAGCCACGGAGTGAATGATGGAGAGTGGGGCGAAGCATTCGTCCGTTCATTCATTCTTGCTTCCGTCCGTCCATGCGTCCGTCTGTGTGACCGTCCATGCATCCATCCGCCCATCCGTGCGTGCGTCTGTTCGTGCGTCCGTCCCTGCGTTCGTCAATTCATCCGCCCATGCGTCCGTTCATGCGTCCATCCATGCATCTGTCTGTGTGTCCATTCATCCATCTATTCAACACTCCGAGTACCACCATCTCGCATCTTTTCATCATATATTCCCCATATAGAAGCACCGCCATCCATCGGACATTCCAAGGACTAAGCGAGAGGTGGCACACGCACACTTTCTAACGGCTTGCGCTTCGGGTCTACTTCCCACCTTTAACCACCTCGAGCTCATGGTATATACCAGTTCACTGTATTCATGGCACTGCGGCCCAACGCTCGCTAAACCTTTCTAAAACCAAGGAGTTACGCCCAGCGAGTATAACGTAGCAACCTTTTCCTGTCAGATAGTGCTCAATGTACATGCCAATTGCTGCTAATGGGAAATGAGAGACAGGAGAATTCGGCTTTTACTTTCTTACGGCTTGCGCTTCGTATCTACTTCCCACGTTTAACCACCTCGTGTTCATTCATGGTATATACTAGTTTATTGTATTCATGGTACTGCGGCTCAACGCTCGCTAAACTTTTCTAAAACTAAGGAGGTTACACCCAGCAAGTATAACGTAGCAACCCTTTCTTGTCAGATAGTGCTCAATGTACATGCCAATGGCTGCTAATGGGGATTGCAGCGTGCACGTTAACTAAAAGCCAAATGCTCCTGTCTCTCGTTCCCCATTAGCAGCCATTGACATGTACATTGAGCACTATCTTTTATTGTTCAACAACGCACAAAAGAAATCTGTCACCGGCACCACCTTGGAGGTCAAAATGTTATACTTGTTACATACTACTACAATGACTACGAGGGACGAACAGGTGTTGCTATAAAGAGGGTGGCGATTTGGGCTTGTGTTCGTTGTCTGCGCTACCATCCATCATCTTGCTATAAAGAGCTTCGCCCCTAAAAAAAGACGCGTACACTTCCTTTTTGAGTCTCATTATTAATCTCAAGTTTTATTCATCAGTTCATGCAACAAATTACACGAACTCACAAGTCGTATGAAATATTTGTCGCCCTGTCACGTGCTGCTGTTAGCGATGTCAGAGCACAGTCGTCTACGTAGAGAATCGATGTCAAATTTCTACTGTCTACGTAGCGCAATTCCTACGTCTACGTCATGCCCCCGTTCTCCAGGCGCGCGCCCATGAAAGGGAGGGCAAACAGCTTTTGTCTTCATTGTGCTCGTCAGCTCAAAATTACAAACTTGTCAGACCTGGTGAGTCGTCCTTTAAAGGGCCACTCACCAGGCCTCATACCAAACTTTAGTTAGACCGTTAAAGTTGTCGGGTGTCCGATGAGGAACATTTTGCCACATTTTTTTTTCAATCGGTTCATTACGAGCTGAGAAAACTCTATTTTTGAAGCGGCGCGAAACGAAGCTGAGAGGAGGTGAGCTCAAAACCCTTGCCACTCATCCGCGTAGCCTTCGCAAGCCAAATCTCTTCCCTACCTTCTCCGGCATCCGACCAACAGGTCACGTGCGCATGACGTGCCCGAACAAGCCCAACCCCCGTGCAGCCGAGTGACATTTTCGTGTGTGTGTGTGTGTTTTGACCAGCATTGTTTTGAGGTCTACTGCCCGTTTCTGCGGGATGGTTTGCAAGCGCTGGCTTAGACGCGGTACAATAGATGAGCACAATTAGTGAGTGCGCGAACGCTTAGGAGCGTTCCACGGCTGTCATCTGCTCAATTCGCCGACGGTGGAATCGCGGGAACACGAACGCATGCGAAACGCCGGCAAATTAGCCCCGCACCTCGTTGCGATTCCCGAGAAAAAATAAAAAAAAGGAGAACGCTCGCATTCTCTTATTGCGTCTGATTATTTATCATAGATTTATTAATCTCTTCAAGCAACAAATACATAAACTTCGCATGTTTTGTTAAATAATTTTCGCCATGCCACGTGCCACTGTTTGCAACTTCAGAGGAGAGTCGTCTACGTAGAGGACCAACGTCACTGCATTGCCGTGTACGTAGAGCCAACACCACCTAGACTATTGACAATAGTCTAGGTGGTGTTGGTAGAGCCATTCATACGCACACGTCATGCCCTCATTCTCTGGGCGCGCACCCGCAAAAGGAAGGGGGAGCAGCGTGCATCTTGAAATTTGACTAATTTCCGCGGCGCGTAGCATTGCAAATTTTGGCAGACATGATCTTAAACGTCTAATCTACGCATTGCGCTTGTCAGCTCAAAATTGTCAAACCTCCATGGTAAGTGGCCATTTAAAGAACCCCATCTTGTCAACATTCCTGAAGCCCTCCAATACGGTGTCTCTCATAATCATGTGGCGGTTTTGGGACGTTTAACCCTAACAATTATTATTATTATTATTCGTTCCAGTTTGAAACTCCTTTGCGCTAAATGCGGTGAATGTGCGCTCGCGTCACTCCGGCTTGCCTCTCATCACAATCAATAATCTCGATAGCTAACGTCAATCGATTATATACATAGACTTCATTCACTTTGTTCCATTTTGGTGTTCCTTGTGCAAAAAAAAACTTGAAGATGTAATAAGTGCGGTCGTGACAAAAAGTGTAGGTGAATTAAGAAAAGCTCGTTTACACCTTGTGGTCATGCATCCAGTGGCTGAACAATGCATGGCCGAGATTACGATTTATCGCTGTATACTTGTACAAAAATAGGCTCTCTGTGTTTCTGCGCTCTTCAGCAGGCCCATCAGTTCCCAGATCAGCTGGCAGGGTGCGGTGGCGGCACGATCTCTATCTCGTACGCCACGTCCTTGCTGCTCATCCAGCTGAAAGAATTGTCGAACTGCAACACGTCTGCGAAGAAGAGTACGGAAGAAAATCAACGTTGTCTTGCAATGTTACACATGATCATAATTATAATATTGATCATCTATTTTTAAAATAATGAATGATTTAATTGAAGGACCGCTATATTGACAGCAGCAGCTACTGACAGAAGGAGGGAGCACTATTGACAGCAGGAGGGAGGGAGGGAGGGAGAAAAGCAGCATGCGCAAATCTCCGAAAGACGTTTACGCAGCTACCAACCTTCGTGCCTAAATACAGTGGCTCCATAACAGTATTCCCCACTACGTAATATTTATCAATCGTGTAACCGACTCTTAGCACAGCAGTGTTTTTGCGTTCCGCGGTCATCACAGAGCGACAATTGTAGTCGATAATAATCAAACCTTCGAAATTTGCTGCTTATGCAACTAAAGGGTAGTCGAAGTTTTCCGGAGCCCTTCATTACGGACTCCCTCATAATCATTTGGTGGTTTGGGGAAATCAGACCTCAACAGTTTCTTATATTATTATTTTTATTATTATTATTATTATTATTATTATTATTATTATTATTATTATTATTATTATTATTATTATTATTATTATATTATTATTATTATTATTATTATTATTATTATTATTATTATTATTATTATTATTATTATTATTATTATTATTAAAGTGTTGCGGTCCCTGTAAGCCGCAGTGAAGGTTTCTCACACGCATTTGACGCGCTGCAGCGTACGCGCTGACATGATACCGAGCATAAAATACGAGCGCGCAGTGTTCGTGAAAACCTTGCATTTCCCCACGTAATGAATTCCTGAGCGTTGTAGCATTACTCCCCGTGTATTCCCGGGGCTCCGAAGTCCAAGTTAAGTGAGAAGAATATTTAATTCCAGCAACTGAGTAAGTTGCCGCAAGCTCGGGACACGCTAAGATATGCCGTCGCGCGTAATATAGCAACTTACACGTTCCGCGCTTCGTACAGACGTTCTTCGTACAGTCATGTTATGCCATACCAAGTTTGGTATCGATATCATTATCAAAACGGCCAGGAGAGCTGAAAGTCGTAGGCGGCTAGATTAGATAGATAGATAGATAGATAGATAGATAGATAGATAGATAGATAGATAGATAGATAGATAGATAGATAGATAGATAGATAGATGGAATGATAGATAGATAGATAGATAGATAGATAGATAGATAGATAGATAGATAGATAGATAGATAGATAGATAGATAGATAGATAGATAGATAGATAGATAGATAGATAGATAGATAGATAGATAGATAGATAGATAGATAGATAGATAGATAGATAGATAGATAGATAGATAGATAGATAGATAGATAGATAGATAGATAGATAGATAGATAGATAGATAGATAGATAGATAGCAACTTACACGTTCCGCGCTTCGTACAGACGTGAGATCCGTGCTCTGGCACGAGACTGCAGGAGGGCACCCGGTGCACCTCGAGCATCTGCTCCTCCACGCCTTCTCCGCCGGTGGAAGGAGGCTGGTAGCGAACTCCGAAGCCGAGGTCTCCCTTGGCCGTCTGGAAGGTCCACCGGATCCGGCTGCCGGGCTGCTCCACGGTGAACGGCATCTCGAAGCGACCGCGCCGCTCCACGGTGAAGTGCGGCACGCCATCGCGGCCGTAGATCTTCTTGGAGGCCAGCTCGTCGCGGTACTCGTCCGGAACCTCGCCGCCAGGACACACCAAGTGCGGGCAGCGCGGGTCGCCGTCTGGTCCCGTCAGGGTGCCTCCCCAGTGGGCCGGCAGCTTGGACAAATCCATGAACTCGGCCATGGCGGCCTTCCAACCGTCTGCAAGAGTGGATGTGGTGCGTGTCAAGACAGGATCGGCCAAAGAGGGCTGAGAAAAGGTCAAACGAAGCCGTTTCTATTCCTCGGAAGGAAGATGTGTAAGAAGGATGTCCAGAACCTTCGACTTCGCAGTCATAAACATTCGGCAGCTCGAACTACCAGAACAATAATAACAGTACATACGCCTCCCATGAAATTCCCAATGCTTGCAATATTCAACATTTACGCCTGATAATTTTGTTCTACTCAATCGGTCAATCAATCAGCCAATCCATGTAAGTCAGATGTCCATCAATCAATCAGGTGGCCATGTCAGGTGCCCCGTCACAATGACTCATTTATGGAACAAAATTTTCGGTAATGATCAAACAAATTTTTATACAACAATATACCATTGCGACTTGATTGATTGATTGACTGATTGATTGGTTGATTGATTGATTGATTGATTGATTGATTGATTGATTGATTGATTGATTGATTGATTGATTGATTGATTGAAGGAATTACCGATTGGTCACCAGCGCATTTCGCAAAGACGTCCCACAAGCTACACACGCTTCGTAAAAAACGCGACTGGTTTAGAAATTTCGAAGGTTAGAGACCTGTTTTGTCAGCTTTTTGACCGTTCATCACTTTCCGAGAAAATTGCTACGATATTTAGTAGTAAAGGCAGTATCCTTGCGAAGGCTGGGCGTGTGGGAATTTCGCGCAGAACAATAACGAAAAATACCTTTTGTTCAAGAAAATGATTCGCATAAGCAAGGGTGCACAAAAGCGCATTTCACGCACTGATACATCCTTCCTCTTTTTTACCGGCACCACAGGGGAAGGAAGAAAAACAAAAATAAACAAAGAACTGTTAGAACTCCTGTGTTGCGGAGTGCTGCCCTCTGACGACAGCCGCCTATAGCTCAGCGTCGTCCATAACGGCCTTCGAGACGGCCAGTAGAGGCGCGGATTTTCCATGCCTTGCCGATACCATGCCAATGCGCGGCATTCGAGGTCATCGCTATGAACCTTGTTTGTTTTGTACCAACGAAGGAAACAAACTAGCACACGCAATATCCTCGCAGTTGGCGTTATTCTAATGCCACTCCGGGACATTTTCCGCCGAGCAGTTTAAACTCCGCTCATCGATACGTGTGTCTGCTGCTAATAAGTTTAGGGAAATTTTGAAGCGATGTCACTAGAAGGGAACGCCAGCATATTTGAAGGATTAGCTAAAGTATATCTTCCGGATAGTTTCAGCATGTGTTAACAGTGCCAGGGACGCGCGCCCCTGTATAAAACCAACGTCCACAACTACGAAAATAAAATTAAAATATTCTTGCGGATTGTCGCGAAGCCAACTTGCACAGCAAAATATGCGTGTAGCTATCATCTTAACTTTGGATTTAATATTCTTTTGTAAATTTCATACAGGTTATATGTGAAATATAGTCAATGATTCTACCTTAAGCTACTATCTGAACTATTTAATACCACGCTGTTTAGGAAGGCTCCCTGAACTTCAATCTTTGTTCCGATATATATATATATATATATATATATATATATATATATATATATATATATATATATATATATATCCGGCATTAGCCAATGCTGGTTTTATGTGAATAAATGCAGTAGGCTTGACACAAGCTATGCTTTTTTTTAAACTCCTAATCCTGAATACATCTTCAAATGATATTTTGTACATGCTACTTTGCATCACGGGAACTGTATTCGCAGCTTTCGCTCATAGTTTTTCTCTATTTTATTCTGGTCTAGGCCCTCTTTTTTTTCAACCGAAGTTTACATTTTATGTTTGAAATGCATCGCAATAATAAACGTTTGATCGACATCATTTTGTATAAGGCAATGAACAAAGAACCTTCACTTTTTTTTTCTTTTTGCTTAAAAAGTGCATCGCTTTTCCTGCAAGTTCATTGCCCATCAGGGTCAGAACCCCTTGCTTTTCTCTCACGAGTAAATGCTGAGGCACTTAGTGTCTTGTCTATACAGGATTAGCCACGTCATCCGTTTCACTAGACTGGAGATTTCCAGAGTGTTTTAGATGGTAAAGCATAAATGCTGTACGCTAGTTCAAAAATGAAATTAGAAAATCTTCAATTTCTTTTTTTTACCTTTTCCGTAGATGCCAATCTTGTCCACCGTCCTCTGCGTCAAAAGCGGCCGCATTATTTTCCACAGTATCGGGAAGAAACTGGGTACTGCGACGAGAGCAATTCGCAAATCACGCAGTTAAGGTCAGCAGCCATCGCAAGCTTTCCAACGGCACTAAGTGTAAGACCTTGCGCACTACGTTTGTTTAACAGTAAGGAAACAATTCAAGTGCCATGTCTATTCTCGTGCTCTCTGTGCGAAGAAAACAGACTACAAAAAGTATTTTTTTAGCAGTACAACAAAACAAATTGTATGAAGATTAGTTTTACATTGTGGAGTGGATCGTTCGAGGTGTCTCATGCAAAGAAATTGATCTGAAGGGAATAAAATTGACCCATAGATGTCTCAAATTTCAGGCTGCAGTTATGAAAGAAATGTGACGAAAGAAATGGGGGGGTCGTTGGGGAGGGGGAAGATGGGTAGGTGAAAGAAATTTCCTTCAGGCGAGTGTTGGCGAAGGAGATCTTGTCACTATATATATGAACCAAGGCTCTTAAAAAAGAGTAGACCTTGCTTTCGTATGTCGGTGTTCGGAGGTGCAGTTCACTTTTTTTTTTTATATTTCACATTCGTACAGCTGTGATGAAAGGTCACGCGCGTAACTTACAACCTGACGAGCTCCTTCCCAATCGAAACCTTCTGAACAAGGCTAAAGATGGGATACAACTTTTTGTCCATATTTGAGGCGTCTTATCTTCCTTGTCCTTGAACCAGTGGCTGATATGCACTTCGTAGAGTGACGCAGCTTACAAGGCTTTAATCTTGCGATGGCCTTCATACCCTTTGGCTGGAAGGTCGGTGAGGCTTACCCACTAGGCGACCAGGCTCTGTAAAGATGCCTATCTCTCGATGGCAGGGGGCACGATTCTGTGGGCAGCGCGTGGACTACGTGGAGCAACGGTGCAGAACGGAAGCAAAACGCGCATAGGGACCCAATCACAATACAAAGGCTTATCTATGGACGTACCTTCTAATAGGATGTCGTAGCAGATAGAAAGAGTTAGAAAAGCGGGTCGAAAGAAAAAAGTATAGAGTGTTCCACGTTCGCAGTCTTCACAAGCGCATATATTTGGACAAGAAACTGGAGAGAACTCAACACGATCGCAAAGCACGCAAGTGATACCTATTAATGAAGTGAACAAGTAGAGAGCATCCGGTTTGATACTCAAACTGTGGAGTGTGGGAAATGTTTATTGACCTATGGGAGACTGAGAACACGGCGCGCACACCGAACGATGCAGATTAGGACAGCGATTAGTCACTAAAGCCTGCAGTCTTATGAAACTGTGGTAGAGCATATAGGATTGCATTCGGAAGTTAGCGAAAAACTTTGGCAGAGTTCAAGAGCTTTCATCTTGAAAAAATTCACTCTGCTCGCAATGTTTTGTGAAGTGACGCGTTCAGCATAGCACTGCACGTCTATGGCTTCACTCTACAGATGCGATAGTAGATCGCATTATCAATTTCCGCGATGAATCTGATAAACGAAGCACTCTATTATAGCAATGCCCACGCAATAACGTTGTCCGCGTACGCAGATAGACCCGTTTTATTTTATTGGTCGTTACATTGTGATAAAAAGTACTATTCTATTCCAGGCATTGTCTCCATTCATGTCTGTACAGTCGCAAAGTTATCTTCCGGGTCATCAAAACCTTGTTCGTTCATTCATTTTGTTTAAGTATACTATCAAAAAATATACTCCCGGTGTCAATGCAGATCCAAGTATAACCAAATTTCGCTTCGTCTAGGCTAAGCACCTTAGTAACGTGCTTCACAAGACTGCAAACCAAGTGACCCGCCCAACGCTGTCATATTTGAGTTGTCACTGTTCCGGTGAAACAGCAAATGAACTATGTTAAACAAGTGTTGAGTGGCAACGGAAAGTACACGGCCGGGTTGATTGGCGGATCATCGGAGAGGCCTTTGCCCTGCAGTGGGCGAAGTCAGGCTGATGATGATGATGATAATGATGATGATGATGATGATGACGATGATGCACAGTTAGTCGACGGTTTAGTGTCACTTGACGCCTGACGCCTCACGTTCCCAAAATGTGAAGCCATATTGCAGTTCGCATTCGCATTCTGCGCCTGGATAGGATAGTGAAGCTGCACTAAAGACCCTAGATTTTTCACTTTTATATAAGTCATGTCACCACCACAACTCGCAATCTCTAGGAAAAAAAATTAAATGCGGTTCATAGACCACCCCGCTTCCTCTCATACACTTTAGCTGCTGCTTTTTTTTTTTCTGAATCGCCCCGCGCTGAGTAAATGTCACTAACCTGACATGTAATTTAAACCTGTTCCGGGTTTGTGTAATAAAATAGTCGAGTTGTCCAATTGTTTTTCGTGCTCTAACTAAAACACGCCACAGCAATGTTTTATGTCAGATAAGTGACCGTCTGACAGTTTTGTTTTGCGTTCTCCCGGTTCCACTAACTGATCGTTTGGGATATCCAGCACGTGTTTCGTTTTTCCTGTTCCTGTTCTTTCTTTTTTTTTTTTTTTGCGGAGGGGCTAAACATCACTTGGTCGTTTAGTATCTATGCGATGAACCTCTGTTCTGCGAAATTCCCATGAATTCCACTTACCATTGATGACGAATGCCTTTTCAAGGGACTCCGGAAAGTTTGCTTCGTACATCTTGAGCAAATCAGTCAGAAGGTTGAGCACTGCGAAGAATCAAGAGAAAGAGCGCGTTCATACATGACTGGCGGAAGGACGAACTGAAACAAGATAACAGCGCACACCTTGCCAGGAGTAGAGCTGTCGTACTGAAAAGCCCTCGTAGTCCATGATCACGTACTGGGTCTCGATCTCCTTTCCCAACTGCAATGGCGAGAAGAAGATCTTCAAGACTGACAGCGTTTGTTAGTGGGTTGGGCCGATATGCATAACCACGTGGTCTTTACGACACCCTAAGAAAGTCAGGTGTGCTGACGCTAACCAGGACCAGATTGTGCTGTCTGATGCGCTCATTTCGAGTGCAGCGTTTACAATAATGATTGTTGGAGTTTTAAGCGCGAAAAAAACGAAATGACAACGAGGAACCTATGTCGTCACGGAGAGTCCCGGAAATTCTGACGCTCTGGTTTTCTTTAACGTGAACCGACAACACGAAGCACACATCCTTCTAGCGTTTCGCCTCCATCGTAAAGCTATCGCCGTGTATGGTATCGAACCCAGGACCGTCGGGTCGGCATTCGAGCAGCGTAACCACTTTGCCACCGAGGTAGATGTGCGCAGTGCTCGTACAGCTTGCCTTTTTTTTTTTAGTGACGAATTCTGACCACTTTAGTTCGAATTCCTGTCGCTTTATGAAGCTGAATGTTTGTTTCCCAGATGTAATGCCATTCGAATGTTGTATTATTGCATGGAAACAGAGTGACATTTGCACTCACTTTAAACATCAAATGGAGCACTCTTGCGAGCAGAGATGGATTACATGGATGTCACATGCGCTAGATACTGTAATGAACGCAAACCTGTTCAAAGCTTGACTTTCATTAACACGTCGAATGATCGGCATTGTATTATTACTCATGCAACAGCTAACGAGGCAGGCTGTCGGCACTGAAAGTAAGAAAATTATGATTGGTAAAAATAAGAGTATCGAGAGATTATGGCTGTTAAAACATATTAGCACTGCCAATTAACACTAGAATGTGCAAATCAATCAGAGATAATATGCAAATGAAGAAAAAAAACAGGCAGAAAATATGTCATGCATGCAGACCCCACGCTTAGAGGTTAGGGGCTCTTTTAACTGAAATGCAGAACACTACTTCCTAAATTCGCTACGCTTCTCACAGTGCGCTCAGCAGCGGGTCAATTACACTATTGAGCCTTAGGTAAGGCTGTGAACTGCGGTACATTGTTGCAGGATTAACAGATGCGCGCACCAAATAAACGTGTATTATTCGGTGTCTGCGTCCATTTCCACAGCTTCTAACCGTTATTTACATGTCTGCGATACCTTTGGCCGTAAGGGAGTTACGGCGTCATGATGTTTATGCTCATGGTTCCATCAACCATCATGGTAACCATCACATGGTGTCTGAATTGACACGTTTTGCCCACCTTGCGAGAGGAGTCCTTCTTGATCTTCTCCTGCAGTTCGAGCAGGTACATGCAGTGGCGGTGAATTTCCGTCGGAGGTTGGACCTGAAGAAAACCTGCAAAGGACCAGCGCGAATGCGTGACTGGCGTGCTCACAGTATGGGCTTTGTACAACTTCGTGTCAATGTAGCGTGTTTGTATTTTGCCTCTGAAACCAGATTCATAATATGATCTCAATATGTACTCTATAAAATACCAATGCATGATCAACTAAATAATATTACCAGTATTATATTTTAATTTTTAACTAAATGCTAAGGCATATATACGGCACCTTTACACGAGAGACTCGAAGAGGCAACGCTGCACTCTCCATTGCTTCATCGCCGACTCTTGTCACCTAACTCAGCATGCTGTCAAAAAGAATGCTCGCCCGTTAGACACGTGAGCTATGCAACAAAGCCAGCCTTATTGAGGGTCCCGTTGCAGTCGCTAACTTTGGGACCCTCGTCATCTGTATAATTTATACTTTGTATTAATCATTTTTGTCCTAATAAAACTCATTGATTAAAACTCATTGATTTTAAGAGAGCACCATCTAGGCTTGCAAACAAACAGATGAGGTAAACACAAAGCATAATAAAGATACATGTATAATGACACCATTGCCAGAATTACTTCTTATCAGCTTTTACGCCTTAGCGATGACTAAAGAACTTTGAGTTGAAACAAAGTAAGGACAGATCTCGCTATCGTTTGCTCCGGCACCACCTTTTTGTTTCGGATAAATGAATGAATGAACGAATGACGAAAAATATTATACAGCTTGAAGAACGGTGAAAATGAACATACTGTTATCTAGGTGATTGACTCAGAGCACTCCGAAAGTGCACGAAAATGCCTTAAAAGGCCACCATTTTCTTAGTTAGCTTAGTGCATTGCACAGCGACGTTCATGCCTTTTGCGATTTTGCATAATTTCAGTCCCTCCGCCAACGGTTTATTATTTTGAGTAATAATATTGCTTTAAGTTGTCTATTGGTCGTACTATGACGAAACTTGCGTCGTAGTCGTCTTTGTTGTTGTTGTTGTTGTTGTTGTTGTTGTTGTTGTTGTTGTTGTTGTTGTTGATGATGATTGATGATGATGATGATGATGATGATGATGATGATGATGATGATGATGATGATGATGATGATGATTATCATAATGATGTCAATGATGGTGACGTAGTTGTCATTGCTATAATGCTACATTTGCTGACAGTGCGACCTCTCAACATATATGTTCCTGAACAAACGCGCATCAACACATCGGCATGCAGCTCAAAGCGGGTGATTTAAACTTGCTGAGCAGTGCTGACACAAATTAAAGCATGCTGTTAACAACTGTGTAGCAAGGTAACGAGACTCAAAGCTTCTTTTATTATTACGATAGCAATTATATAGACAGTCTTGGCTGATTTTGCCGTCGCCGCCGCCATCATGCACCGTTCATGTATACGTATTTATATATATAGAGCTCAAGAAAAAAAAAGCCGTCCACGCTCGGCACCCAGCTCGTCGCGATTTGCCAACGCGCGCTTATCTCCCACGCGTACTTTGCCCCACAGATGAAGGGGGGGGGGGGGGGGGGTTGGTGCTTGTGTGCGCGCGCTTATCCTTCGGTGGAGAGAATCATGTGCCTTGGCCTTTCACCGGAACGATTACGTTAGTTGCCTGGGCCACAAAGGTCCCTTCGCTCGCTGGGCAGGCCCCGTTTGCGAAAAGAGCGCACTTTTCAAACAAAGTGAAGTTAACGACTGGGACACTCGTTAGTTCGTACTTTGTACCCTTGATTACGTTTCGTGCGTCGTTTTTGTTTAAACAGTGCGTTAAGCGTCGAGCTGTAGACGTTGTTAGTCAGCTCTCGTCCTGTGTGTGTTGTTTTCGAGCGTAATTCGTGCATGAGCAGCGCGCTGCACGTTTCGATCTGCTAGACGTTTTCAGCGTTACATTCCAAGCTGTTGCTATCGCATTCATTGCTTAGCCCTTGCGGCGAAAATGTGACTTTTTTCCTTAAGTAATTGACCACATGGAGACTTTCTCAACAAAGTGGCTGCACACAGCTCAGTGACAATTACCGGACAAACACAAAATTCAAGCTGCACTTGAAAGCATAACGTAGTGTGTTCGTCTAATATATTCTGTCCATATAGCTATGTCGCAGTATTTCTTATAATATCGGCGCTATTATTTCTTTGCTGCTTCTATTATCGCTGTAGACTGTAAATGACAGTTTTGTCGGTCATCGGTTGGTTAAGTGCCAGCGCCCCCGTGAATATCTGACCTTAATGTGCTTGCAACTGGGTCAATTGGCCTCGAATGCGTGAAGGTCCATCTAATGGCGGCCGAGCTGTTAGAGGTTAAGAGGTTAAGACCACGTTGCAAATTATCTCCACTGTAACCATCGCAAACGTGACACAAATTGTAGCAACAGCACTGGAAATTGCTAAGCTCCAGTGAAAACGTGGACTTGCAAAGATAAAAAAAGAGAGACAAATAATACAGAAGAGGTAGTGAGGTGTCAAGCGCGCAAGGTTAGTCTCATGCCTGATACCTTACAGTTGGGGAAGGGAAGGGCAAGGCCTCAAAAAAAGGGGGGTAAATACTATGGTCAGAAAACTTACCCACCATCCCGCCCTGCGAACGTGAATGTTCAGGTAAGCTTTATCATCAAAGACCACACATGCAAGTTCGGTCCATGCCAGCACCAAGTTATTTTTGTCCACTTTTTTTCCTTCAAATTTACGTTACAATTACTTCCAGTAACATCCTCTCCACTTTTCTTGGTATCACTGTCAACCAGTTGTCGTTGATGTTGTGTCCTACAAAACAAAACGAGTCCTTAAATTTCCTTTTATTTATAGCGAGGATCTCGTTGTGGGAGATTTCTTGAGGTGGTATGTGAGGGATGGTTGGTCAGCTGCCAGCTCCTAATAAGATCGCGTGCTACGTGACTTTAACAAGCACAAAAAAGTCACAGTTTCGCGAAAAGTGCCAAGCAATGAATGCGATAGCAATGTACTCGTATGTCTTACGAAGCAAGGCCAGCATTTTTAGGAGCATTATAATTGTAGTAAACATGCGCTTGCTAAGTAACAAAGTTTGCTACGGCGCGGCCACAGTAGCTGGCCACAACAAGGATCGTGCATAGTTAAGGCGTTGACATACGAAGTGAGGCTGGCGATCAAATCATTTAGATCATGATTTACGTAACTCTACAAAACGCTGGTGCAAGAGAACACGGCTGGTCCAGGTAGGCTTTTGGCACCGTTTTTACGTGTTGAGAGCACGGCCCGTATATGTCGATGGCGCCTGCCCCTGTTCACAAGCATGGAATAGGTCTAAACAGCTTCGCTGTGAAAAGTCGTTTATAATTAGGGCACTGCCTAATCAACGTTTATTTTTTTTTTAAATTCGAAGGGTGTTTCTACGAAGTTTATTTTTTGTTAGGAAATTCGGCGATTACCAGAGTTTGTTTCTCGTAAGTCTCGAATATCCGAAATTTGGTGTCCAATTCTGCATTAGAAACTACAAGGTGCATTTTCATAAACTTTACTTCCAATGAAAAGGCGTTTCAATGTGGGCTGATAGTCCTCTTTTTGCATCCTTTCATTTTTTTCTCACCTCCTGTTCATTTACTCTGCTAATAGGTCTATTGATGTCCACTGCTGTGAACTTGTCAAAGTGTACTTTGATTGGGGAGGGGGGGGGGATAAGCGGGAATAAGCAAACTAATTCTCAGCTTTCTATCCCAGCCTTCCTCGTCTTATGGATGCAAAATAAATTGTTGTTGTTGGTTGTGGTGGTGGTGTTGTTTTTGTTGTTGTTTTCAATGCTCCAAGACCTTAGATGCAATAATATCTGAACTCGAGAACATGTGAACTCAATAAGTCTATTTCAGACGTCCGGAAGCTCTGAACGCACATGCATATATACAATCAAATACAAATACTTGAATGCAAAACACCTACGTTCGCTTGTATCACGTACAACCTTAAATGTCGTTGTAATAGACGCAAGCACGCTTTATGAGGTTGCTTCCAATGATTGAGGTGCTCTCCTTTCGATAGGTGATTGTCTGCTTTGAAAATATCCATTGAACGGTGAAAAAGCCCTTTTAAAATTTGGTGCTTATCGGAATTTTTTTCTGATTTATCATCTCAGAACACGGAACTCTATAACCCCCGTATTCAGAAACGCTTCTTGACTTGAATATTACTTGCGGCCGCAATCATTGCAGCGCAAACGTGATTTGAACGCGCTGTCTTTAGCCGGCGCCAAGGAAGCCATAGACGCGTTACAAAACGCTGCCTTGAGGTGGTAGCAAGTCAAGTTCCTGTCAAGGAGCGTTTCTCGAATACGGGAGTAAAGATAAACACCGTATTCAGAAACGTGCCTTAATTTGAACTTTACTTGCCACCGCCTTCAATGCAGCACGTTTGAAGCGCGCCTGTGCTTTCTTGACGCCGGCTAAAGACTAGCTCGTTCGAAACGCGTTTGCGCTGCATTGAATGTGGCCGCAAGTAATATTCAAGTCAAGGAACGTTCCTCAGTACTTGGATGGAGTATGAAAATGGGCAAGTTCTCTTCCCGTCGAATAAAGTTTTCCCAAACCAAACCGAACAGTCCACCCTTAAAACGGAGCTGCACTTGGCAATTGTACCGTATGTACTTCTCGTGTTCTAATGCAAGCAAAACTAAAGGTTCTTCATTTCTACTTTAAATACAACCATTGGATAGAAGTAGATGTCAGAATGCTGGAGGAAATTTTGTAAAGACGTTCAAGTTTTCAACCTATTACCAGCGACATGAACGTGGGCGCACTGAACCACCAACAACGATGAGTGTGACCGTTGAGTAGTTGAGCTCAATAATTTATACTGTAGGACCGTGCCTGTAAGTCTATAGTGAAAAATTGAGGTACGTGAGTGTCTGTAGCAGGACGGCTTTCAGCTCTTCCATAGTAGAGTACTAAGTACTCTGAATCGTTAACCACTTTGTCTAAACACAATTTTAAAGGCAACCGAAGAAAACCGATTGACAGTGATGTATCTACATGAAATGGCGAGAAAGACAAATGAAAAGAATGGTCAGCCAGCCACGCTTTTTGTTCTGGCTTGTCACCCCTATAGCATGAAGCTTTCATAATTTTTACCGGTGCCTTTCCATCTCAACGTGGGAGCGGCCCGCAATCCTACCCCTATAAAACGGGGGTGGAATCCTTGAGAACCCCAATAAAAGTTTTACATCCATCCATCCATCTCCGGAAACTTATGTACTTTTTCCTTCTCTTTCCTTGCCTACTCCTTTTCATTTCCTTTCCTCCTATTTCTCCCTCTTCTAAAAGGAGACCGACATTGTGGCATTCAGTTGTCAGTCTGCCACCTCTATATTTATCCTTTGTCATTCGTATAATTGTTACATATTTGCGCGTCTAATGAAAATCATTCCGATGGTTTGGTGGAGACCGAAAACGAGTAGTTGCTTTGTTCTTTCCCCTGTTGACTCGTGGAAACGGAGGCTCAAGGATGTTTACCTTCCAAGATCCGGTGGAGATCAGCTCTTATCTTGTGTGATTCTTAAAGAAAAAGAAGAGAAAAGTGAGCCCTGTAGCTGTCTGCATCAGAGTGCGACACCTCAACAGTAGCTCACAAGGGATGGGGGTAAGGAGGGATTAAAACGATAGGATTAGAGGTATAGAGATAGAGAGAGCGAGGCGCAGGGACAGCGAACGACAGAAAACGATGGATGCACACGGTCGCAGGAGTCCGAGGATGGGGATTCATGAATGCACTCAGCGAGAGCTTTTGTCGGCAGTCAGTGGATGGCGTAGGGCGAGCCCAGTCGGCCAGAGCTGCGGATGTAGTCGGAGATCGCGGGTCACACCCGGTCGGCACTAAATCCAGAGAGTGAGTCAGTTCTGGTCGAGCGAGAATAAAGAGTTCGAAAACAGCGTGTCCGCGGCCAACCGGCAAACACTGACGCAGGATATTCAACCGGGAACGGAGATGGAGAGAGCGCGGAACGCTTCCTGTGTTCACGGCCAGCGACCACGGTGAGACGACGTTTAGCCTCGCGGCGGACTTCTTAGAGCCTGTGATTCCGTCATACCTGACGCAAGGTGTGCATCGTCCTTGTCCTCAAGGTCAGCACGTGGTGAGGTCTCGCCTCGTACCGGTCTCACAAGCGGCGTTCGAAGTGTTATTGAAGCGCGGGGTCTTTACCTCTGATCAAATTGGCTCTGCTTGGGACGCCCGAATATCAAGATTTGGCTCCCGCCGCACCTCTCTCGTTGCGGGTTATGTGGCCTCGTGTGCGTGAAGATGTATTAGATGGTCACATTTTTGAGGTACTCGTGAGTTGGTTTTTTTTCTCTCTTCAATATTTATGCACTGCTATTTTTTTGTAGAAACAACAGTTGGAGAAGTTGGAAGAATAAATATTTTCTGCAAAATATTTTCTTGGACGAACAACGCGCTGTTCAGTGCTGTAGTAGCTTGAATAGCATTCACTGGTGAATCGAACGAGGCTGAAACGCCGAGTGCCTGGTATTGTTGCAGGAATGGTTCCGTCAAGTGGTGCGACTAATAAAACACCAAATTTTGTGGTGAGGAGTGTTCAGAATTAATTCGGAGCAACCACACCACTACAGATATACGTAAATAATACAAAGTAATACTTCTTGCTAACGCGACATTAAACAAGATTGTTGACTCGGTTGTGCTCGATCGTGAGCAGTTGACAATGCATGTGAAACGTTCGAAAACTATTGGAAGCATATTTGCGCGAAATGTTACTGTTTCTCTTTGTGAACCGAGTAGAAGATAACGGCGTGCTAATTGTTACTAGAAGGTCTTGAGTATTCTCCCATCGCAATTTAGCTTACTTGGGTAATGCTGTAAACTTGATTACATGCTAGCAAGAATTCATCTTCAGCTAGACCAATGTTTCACAAGTGTGGCTTTACTAACCTCTATAGGTACCAACCATTGCATGTCTCCCTTGTTTAAGACACGAGAGTAAGTGACAGAGAAAGGTATGATAGGGTCGAGTTGGGAGACACTAACAACAAACCAGTTTCAAACGTGACGCGTGTAGATTCAATTCACTCAACCCCGCATGCAATCGTGTACATCTCATCTTCCACTCTATCTCTTATCGACGTTACAGATGCGGCTTACCCTTTATGTCCACGCTGCCGATATTTACCAGCCAGACGGGGTTTCCCTTCTTACTGCAGTCCAGGATGCCGCCCGGAAAGTGATCGCGGATCACCTGTTAACGTGAGGAAGCGGTAGAGGTGACAATTTCACTTCATTCAGGTTTTTTTTTCACTGGTCACCTCGGCTATTATATGAAGACCCGAAAACCACTTACTGAGCAGCCTAGGAGTATATATAGGCGTATGATTGTATAAACATTACACCACGCGTCATAGAAATGCGCAAGAGGGGGGGGGGGGGGGCAAGCCAGCTTTACGTTTTGACAATAGACGGAGCGTTGCGACAAACCTTAACCCCCTACCCTACCACCCGTGAAAAAACCATGGTCGCATGCCTATGCCACACGTTATGTCTACATGACCCCCTGTAACACCTTATTTGCCCTCACACTGCATTGGTTTGGTTTGGAAAAACTTTATTGACAAGTCCGAAGGCGTGCGCCCTAGCACACGGCGGGCCGCTCCCACGATGGGACAGTAAGGCCGAGCCCTAGCGCCGCATCGTGGGCCCTCTGGACAGCCCAAAGTTGCGATGTTATGTCTGGACTCCGGAGAGCGGAGTCCCACTTTCTGGACGATGCTGTATCGGTGCCACGTACCGAAGGGCACTCCCAGAGCATGTGGTGTAAGGTGGCTAAACCGCCACATTTTGTACACGAGTTGGTTAAATAAACATCAGGATAAAGCTTGTGAAGAAAGGCAGGGTTAGGGTACGTTTCTGTTTGAAGTAATCGCAATGTAAGCGCCTGCGCTCTATTTAGCTTCGCATGTGGAGGTGGAAAGATTCTCCTATCCATAGCGAAATGTTGGGTTATTTCATTATATGTAGTTGGCGGATCCCTGTTTACGAAATCTCCAGTTCGACCCAAAGGTCCTCCATGGCCGCGGACAGCTAACCCTCGCGCCCTGGAGTGGGCCAACTCATTGAGATTTATGATCCCTCCGTCCATGTTTCCCATATGAGCTGGGAACCATGTAATGGTATGGGTTGTAAGCAACTTATCACCGAGTATATTTTTGGCCTCTTTGCACACAGCTCCAACACTGAAGGCACGAATGGCAGCTCTAGAATCGCTAAATATGTGTTCATTACGCTGATCTAAAAGAGCCAAGGCGATGGCAACCTGCTCAGCTGCATTGGCAGTTCTGGCGCATACCGACGCCGCATTAATTGTAATGCCTTTGTGGTTGATTGCCACTACCGTGAATCGGTCTCTCTGGCCATCATATTGCGCCGCGTCCACGAAACAGGCCCCCCCGTCAAGATCCGCAACTTGGCGAAGAAGGGCCCGAGCGCGCGCTCTCCTCCTTCCAACATTACGTTGGGGATGCATGTTCCGCGGGGCAGGCGAGACAATGATGTTTTCCTTCTGATCCCTCGTCAACCCTTGGTACAGAGCCTCAATCTGAGCTGGTGGAATACCCATTTCTGCGAGAATCATCCTCCCCGCTTTTGAGCCAGACAGCCTAATTACCTGTGTTCTTTCTTGTGCTTCCGCAATTTCCTCCAATGTATTATGAATTCCCAACTGCAGGAGACGATTGGTGTGGGTGTAGTTGGGGAGCCCAAGGGCATTCTTTACAGCTCTCCTGATCATTGCATTAAGCTTGTCCCTTTCCATTCTCTTCCAGACATGCATTGCCGCCACATATGCAAAATGACACAGCAGAAAAGCATGTATAAGCCTGACCAAGTTGTCCTCTGATAGTCCTGTCCTTCGGTTAGCCACCCGTCTTATGAGCCTAATAACACTGTCTGTCTTTTTTTTCCAACCTTTTAATCGTGATGGTGTTGGTGCCCGTTGCTTCTAGCGTCATACCTAAGATCCGAATGGAAGCGACTTTGGGGATTGATCGTCCACTTTTGGTACGTAAGTGGATGTCATTTTCTAGGGGCGGCACCCAGCCTCGCGGTCGACGGCCCCTCCTGACCGGTTTATAGAGGAGAAGCTCAGACTTTTCCGGAGAGCAAGAAAGGCCTGTGTCTTCCAGAAAACTCTCGGTAGTGTCGATGGCCTCTTGCAGGGCCGCCTCTACAGTGCCATCACTTCCTCCTCTACACCAAATGGTGATATCATCGGCATAAATTGTATGACCAACATCTGAAATTCCAGTCACACTGCATTCAATCGTGTTTTTTTAGCAAAGATAACAGCCTTCATGTTTGTTGGACAAAGGTGGTCCAAACGAGCCTTCACACTTGACAATAAAATTAAGTCCAAGGCCGCCAAAGGCACACCACGAAATAATTATCATCTCTCAATGCTTCTCTGGAGGGACTGGCACTTGTAAACAAGTATTAGCTGGACTGCACCCAAAACGTGTGTCGTGCGTGCGAGTAACAAATATGCGTGCGTGCGTGTGTGTGTGGTGTGTGTGTGTGCGTGTGTGTGTGTGCGTGTGTGTGTGTGTCTGCGTGCGTGTGTGTGTGTGTGTGCGTGTGTGCGTGCGTTGTGTGTGTGTGTGTTGCGTGCGCGTGTGTGTGTGTGTGAGTGCGCGTGTGTGTGTGTGTGCGCGTGTGCGTGCGTGTGCGTGCGTGTGTGTGCGTGCGTGTGTGCGTATGTGTGCGTGCGCGTGTGTGTGCGTGTGTGTGTGTGTGTGTGCGTGTGTGCGTGTGCGCGCGTGTGTGTGTGCGTGTGTGTGTGTGCGTGCGTGTGTGTGTGCGTGTGTGTGTGCGTGTGTGCGTGCGTGCGTGCGTGTGTGTGTGGGCGTGCGTGTGTGTGTATGTGTGTGCGTGCGTGTGTGTGCGTGTGTGTGTGTGTGTGCGTGTGTGTGTGCGTGCGTGTGTGCGTGTGTGTGTGCATGTGTGCGTGCGTGCGTGTGTGTGTGGGCGTGCGTGTGTGTGCGTGCGTGTGTGCGTGTGTGTGTGTGTGTGCGTGTGTGTGTGCGCGTGCGTGTGTGTGTGTGTGTGTGTGTGTGTGTGTGTGTGTGTGTGTGTGTGTGTGTGTGTGTGTGTGTGTGTGTGTGTGTGTGTGTGTGTGTGTGTTCACTTTTACACTAATAGCCAAGCGAGAAGCGAGATAAGCATCGCTCATCGCTTCCCAATTGCTTTTTCTAACCAACTTCCCAATTCCTTTTTCTTTCAACAAAACGAAATTTTGTCCATACCAAACAATTTAAAAAATATATCTATTAAGCGCTTGTTAAAAAAAACAACTTGCTGGTAAGTGGTGCATCTGTACGGTTTGAAAAAAAATTCATGCGCATTACTGTTATCTCCAGGTACGTTATTGTCATCAGAAAGCTTGTGCTGAGTTCTCTTAGCACAGCTTAAAAAAACTTGAATTTATACAACGATGTAATGTGACCGTAACTTTGAGGTGACCCTCCACCATCAGGCTAGCGCCAATAACCAAAGGCCAGTGCAGTATTGCTGAAACGTTCTCATGCACACTGTATGCCGGATTTACAACTATATGTTGCACCATCATGTATCCAGGGCTCCCTGTGCTATGATCACTGCCTATCACCCCCCCACCCCCCACCCCCTAGTCCCCTTAATACATGTTGATCAAGACAGTTTCATTAGTATCACAATGTGAGTTGTACTAAATGGGCTCTTCAGAGGAGCTCATTCATTGATTTATAAATTGACGAGTTAGTTAACTTCTTTTCAAAATAACCATTTTAGACTTTGTAGTTCTCTAAACAGGCATTGTTGTGCGTACAGCCTTAAAGGTTCGAAAGCCTTCAAACCCACCTTGGACGCCTCGTAGTCCGTCAGGAGTGTATCCACGTGGTTCTGTTGGCGCCATCGCAGGTGCTGTTTGAGGAAGAAAGGCTCAGCGGAAGTCTGCGAAACCGTCAAGGTCACCAATGCGTCTCACCTGTCGATACATTTGCTCCGCCCGGTCCAGGTCGAAATCGCGCGCTGAAAAACAAGAGAACCGTTAGCAACGGCCGCCCACTCAATCTCAGAGGCGTTTTCTTGTTCCATCTTTCTGCGTTCACGTCGAGCAATTACGAACGAGCTTTATGACAGATCACTTGAACTTCGTTTGAAAACGTCTTGAGTACTCTTTGAAAAGTTACTCCGATCGGCTACGATCGAGCACTGGTTGTGCGGTGATCGATTGTTCACCCGAAGGTCGCAGGATCGAATCTCGGCCGTGCCGGCCGCAGTTCGGGGGAGGTGAATGCGCTAGATAACCGTGTGCTTGGATTTAGGTACGTGTTAAAGAACCACGGGTGATAAAATTTTCCGAAACTGTCCACTATGCGGCTTCCCTCATAATCACGTCGTGGTTCTGAGACGTGAAACCCCAACAATAGTGAGGAAGGGCTGCTCCCGCTCTGAAATGGACGCCCTCCGCAATGAGGGAATGTGCATTGAGTTACGAGAGTCGGATACCTAAGCGGCAAGAGTTTGACTTCGCTGAAATATGAACCTGACAATGATTGGACTACTCGAAATCCGAGAAGGAAAGCCGGATGAAAATCAGGTTTCTCTACATTTTTAAAAACTGAAATGATTTATAGTACGTGAGAACGACAGCTATGTCAGTACGGGTTCGAAGGGGCCTTTCACCCAACACCCGTCCTTATATATATATATATGTACGTATGTGGCAACCGGCGTGTTGTCAGCAGCGCTTCGGATACGATACAAGTTGCAATACCTGAAATTTAATTGCACCAATTTTGCAATATATTAAGTATTTGCTTATGGCTAGATGTTCTGGTGACACGGTGGTGTTCTCCCAACACAAATCTAAAATACAAATCGTGTGCATTTGGTGTTCAAATACACATCCCGGTCACATGCTCACCTCTCAGCCATCTCAGTAGGTTGGCGTCTGTGTGCTCCGGCCTCCGTACGTCTGCCACCGCGTCGCGGAACTGCGTGCAACAAAACACGGCCAGGGCTTTTTTAGGGGCGAAACTTTTTATAACGGCACCCGTTCGTCCCCCGTAGTATGTAACAAGTATAACATTTTGACCTCCAAGGTGGTGCCGGTGAGAGACTTCTTCTGTGCGTTGTTGAACAATGAAAAATAGTGTTCAATGTACATGCCAACGACTGCTAATAAGGAATGAGAGACAGGAGCATTCGGCTTTTAGTTAACGCGCACGCTGTAATCCCCATTAGCAGTCATTTGCATGTACATTACGCACTTTCTGACAGGAAAAGGTTGCTACGTTATACTCGCTGGGTGTAATCTCCTTAGTTTTAGAAAGGTTTAGCGAGCGTTGGGCCGCATAGCCATGAATACAATGAACTAGTATATACCATGAACTCCAGGTGGTTTAAGGTGGGAAGTAGATACGAAGCGCAAGCCGTAAGAAAGTGTGCGTGTGCCACCTCTCGTTTAGTCCTTGGAATGTCCGCTGGATGGCGGTGCTTCTTTATGGGGAATATATGATGAAAAGATGCGAGATGGTGGTACTTGGAGTGTTGAATATATGGACGAACGGACACATAGACAGATGCATGGATGGACGCATGAACGGACGCAGGGGCGGCTGCATGGACGAACGCAGGGACGGACGCACGAACAGACGCACGCACGGACGGGCTGATGGACGCATGGACGGTCACACTGACGGACGCATGGACGGACGGAAGCAAGAACGAATGGACGAACGAACTCTTCGCCCCACTCTCCATCATTCACTCCGTGGATATGCTGCCATTTTTTTTTTACGACAACAAATCATTATACACTTAGCTGATATGCGTTCAGCAGGACGCCACTCTAATATTAGAAACATTCCAACACGTATCTTGAATGCGTTGCTGCCTGCATGGCCTTTCAGTGCTGGCATGCAGATGGAGTGTTTGAGAACAGAGCTTTTCTTCAAGTGGAAAGCACTTATTAGATTATTCATCGGCTTGCTCTGTTTTACTTAACGCACATTTTTTTTTTTTACTGCAAAGAGACCCCAGGTGGTCGAATTTTCCGAGAGCCCTCCACTACGGCGTCTTTCATAATCATGTGGCAGTTTTGGGACATTAAACCCCACATATCAATCACTGCGAAGAGAAATTCGTCTACAGATGTTCACATAGTAAAGTGTGATAATCTGACCAACCGATTCATTTTCCCTTGCTTGCGTTCCACATAGATTTATTCACTCTAACCAACGTGAGCGCACCTGAAACATATTATGAAGCAGTGTACAAAAGCGGTCACGCCCAATCGACTGTCATTTGTTTCGACGAACGAGCCCCACGCCTAGTGCTATACGTATCGCTAACGCACTGTTCTAGTTTCAGGGGCGCGCTGATCCAATTAACCATTTACAATTTATTTGTTGTGTATGCGCGTCTGCCTGCTAACCTGCCTTCCCGTCTCGCAATTGCTTGCCTGAGTGTTGTTACCTTAACGTGACATGCCGAATTCCAGCGCACATGTGTTGCGTCGTAGTAGTCACGAGACGCGCCTGATAGTTCTGTACCTTCGTATCTTACGCAGCCGAACGTATAGTACGGCCTGCGCCGTCTCGCGGTATTATCAAAGAGGGCATTTCGATTCTTTTATGCCGCGATATGAGGTTGAACTCTTTTCCCTTGAATCGTAGGGGTCGACGCACGTTCAACACTTGGCAGTAGGTCGAAGTTCTAATGATACATGTGTTATATGTTTCCATGGTGTTCCCAGGCTATAGAAAGATGCGTTTTATTGCCAATTAGTCAGCTATCATGTGTTATTTTATTAGTGAAAAATAAATTAAAATTGAAATAACGTTCAACTTTTATATACCACTCTTTTCTCTCACCACTCAAGGGTATCTCGCCTGCGGTTAATATTATACGAACACTGACACCCAAATGTACGTATCGGGTAGGGCAGTTTTGTTGAACATACTTGGCCTATATAGTGCTCAATTTCGTCTGATTAAATATACTGACCATGTGGGACAAGAAGAGAGCAGGTTGTATCAGGGAACAAACGTGTGTTAGTGACATCATTGTCGAAATCAAAAAGAATAAATAATCATGGGCAGGGCACGTAGTGCGAAGGTAAGTTAGCCGCTGGTCATAAAGGATCACAGACTGTATTCCAAGAGAAGGCAAGCGGGCGAAGTGGGAAACTTAAAGTTGGGTGGGTAGATGAGATTAGGAAGTTTGCGGGTATAAAGTAGCAGCAGCAAGTACAGGGCCGAGTTGACTGTCGGAACTTGAGAGATGCCTTTGTCCTGCAGTGGACGTACTCAGGCTCGTGATGATGATGATGATCATCATCATGATCATGACGACAATATATCCACTTCACCTCACTCACCATGTTGAGCACTAAAACAGTACAAACATGGTAAACAGAGCAAAATAACGGTAGAATTTACCTTTTGTGTAAATCAGACGGAATTTTTTTTCAAGTGACAATATTAATCTCGCCTCTGAGATCTTTTTCAGAAATGTCCCATAGTTATTCAACCTGTATGCGATTCCAAACATATCACGGCTGCTCGGTGAAAAAACAATGTGTATTTTATCGAGTGGCCATGCTTGTACGTTGTGTATGTGCCCACACTATCACCAATGGTGCTACTTTGAAAATATTACTTGACATGTATTTTTTTAACCCTCCTTGTTTCAGGGTCGATCTCTCCTTGTATCATATGAGTAAACAATTGTACCGCATGAGTAGTATTACGTATTCGCCTATATTGAATATTTTGCATGCACCACGCGCCTTCGTGCTTATTTATTTATTTATTTATTTATTTATTTATTTATTTATTTATTTATTTATTTATTTATTTATTTATTTATTTACATCACTGCCACTTTCCACTGAGACCATAGCAGGTGCATGGGCACTTTTTTTTCCACTCACTATGATTGCTCATCATAAAGTAACAATTCAGCAATGTATAGAACATTGTATTTTATATGTTTTTTGAGTGCTTCAACCACGTGTGTGCCATTTCAGATTTCGTGCGGTTCTTTTATACAATGTTTAGCCCCGAGTTTCTTCCACACCGTTCACGTTCATACGGTGCTAAAACCGAGATACTTGCCGTAGAGACCGCTTTGATTAGAAACACGATAACGCCCAAGTCATAAGGTCGTTTCCGCGCAGAATAAACCTCGAGTAATCTCTAGTGTGACTGCCCATGGCGCGAACATCAAAGGCTCGACCTTCAGACCGCTTTAGGCAAATTAGACGCCGCAGATTATACTTCGAGGACAACGGCCTTGCACGGTCCGCGATGTGCAAACTCTGCGGGCGTTTCTCGATGTCCGTCGTTTCAAATAACCGCTAGTGATTGGATGAATGTGAGACACTTGTGTGAATGTAGAATGCTTGCACAACACGGGCTGTTCACGGCTGGCCACCCACAGAAGAATGGGCAAACGTTTCTTCAACTGCGAATACTGTTTGTTTCCGAGAAATGCCTGTCAGTTCCACTAATATCTTTGGTAGCTTCAGGCTGCTCCAGCGGTAAATAGAATTAATATTCCACGAAATATTTCGACCTCCACGATTTATAGAGAACCTGTATTCACAAAGATCCAAGATCGCTGCACACCAACTGAGCAATCACTGACTGGATCCACGGAAATGATGGATATATGTACTGCAGCGTTGCTGCAGCGAGTGGACGTATAGATGAGCAAACAGGCACCCGGTCGTGTTTGAATAAGTATACGCTAGCTGCAACGAGAGGAAGTTGTGCACGCAAGCCCCGAAGAATGGTCCGTAAAGCAGGTGCTCCAACTTTCTCAATATACTTTCGAGCGAACAGCAAACATACCGATACATGAGCCGCTGTCCAGAGGCCGCTCGTTAGAACGATGTATAGGCTGCGCACTGTGGGAGTTGTTTGTTGTTTGCCCCACGTTGTGCGCCAGTGTGGGGTCTTGTAGTGGCTGGGGCCACGCTTTTGGAGTGAACGGACACGGCCGACGCGGTCGGAACAATCCAAACACCAACACACTTATTTGTTTAACTACTTTGGATCGACGATATCGTCAGCCGAATTATTATTCATCAATTGTTATTAACACGCTAAGACATCCTTACACATCATTAAACGATACGCAACAACATGACAAATAAGGCGGTGTAGCTAATGCCTGACTCACCACGTGGGCCCACCGCAGGCGGCCCGCGGTACCTTCCAAGGCAGACCTACCACTCGAGGCAACCGTCCGCGCTACAGCCCCACGTTTAAGAGAGCCCACGTGATGAGTCAGGTGTTAGCAACACCGCCTTGTTTTTCATGCTGTTGAGTGTTGTTTAATAATGTGCAAGGATGTCTTAGCGTGTGAATTACAATTGAAGTATGAAAATTTGGCTGACGATATCGTCGATCCAAAGTAGTTAAATAAATGTATGTAGAACGGACACCACGTCGGCTGTGTCCGTTCACTCCAAAAACGTGACCCTAGCCACTACGAGACCCCACAGCAAACAGACTTTCATCAGATGTTACTTTATGGTATCCAGGATTCTCTACTTTTTTTTTTTCATTCTTCTCGAGCAATGTCCTGGGCGCTCATAAAATTCTACCGAGAACGAAGGTCATCAAAAAAAAAAAATTGTTGGAGTTTGTGCCATGGTAAAGGGTTGCACAGTTCTGAGTTAGTACCAAGTTTTTTTTTTTTTTATGCAAGTTGACGAGATCGGTCCCGTTAGACCATTTCAAAGAAAAGTTACTGTTCACTGTCCAGCACTTCATTGCCGTTACAAATTTAGCAGAAGTTACTCGTCGCTAATACACGGGGTTCGTGTTTAATGCAGGCATCGCGCCGAAATTGCGGAAACAGTGACTTCGACAAATTCCAGACTTTTGACACCAGTAAACTAAATGGCATTGTTGACGAGCATTACGTTTGATACCTTAATAACACGGTGATGGTTGTTAGCACGACCAAAACTAGATTTTTACAAAATTTTAGCAACCTTATCAATCGCACGCGTTGAATGATGAAAAACTTCGACAATTCTTGCATTTATTCATCTTTGTAGCATGAGCAGCTAGAAATTTCACATCTTCGGTAAATCTCCGAGTACTGCATTCAAAGGCCTCCAGTTTCGATTAACGTTGAGCAAACACTCTCAGTTTGAATTAAATTACATTTTTCTTTATTTGTCTCCATCTGTAGCGTGATCCGTAAAAGTACACGGCACGTTGCTATGTGTCAATAAATAATAACATCCGGGCTTTTAGATGACGAAACTCCGATATGGTAATGAGGCATGCTCTACTGGACGGCTCCTGTAATTTCGACCATATTGTGTTCTTTAATGTGCACTACATCACACGGGCCTTTACCAGTTCACATATGATCGAAGCGCGACCACCACCACGACTGCAGGATCGAACCAGCAGCCTTACAGTCTTCAGCCGAGGCGATGTATTAAGATCAGTTCAATAATTTAACCATTCCAAATCGCTGCCATAATCCTCTTATAGTGTCCGAAAAGAAGGAGTGAGAGAAAAAAAGGATGATACAGCAATTTAAGCTCAACTCTTTTTTAATTAGTTAAAGAAACTCGTTCATTACGGTTGACAAAACTTAGCTATATACCGACGATTGCGCTTGGTGTTGAATATTTTGGTCGAATCATAGCGTGCGCGAACAAACTTAGTTTTCGCCATCGCTTAGTCGCGGAATGTTCCGAAACGTGGACGTTACGCGCGATTACGTAAACTAAGTCTGGAGAGGAATTTTGTCAGCTTAAAGAGATAAAATATTATATGAGAACAGTATACGCTGTCATAGGCGAGGATGGGGGGCTCACCCGTTCCAGCACAGTTTGTTGGCGCTCATCGAGGTCCTGCAAGTAGCCGCTCATGTTGTCGAATGACGGCTCGGGCCGGAGGCTCCACGCGTTGTAGTCTCTCCGCGTGGCGCTATGGACCGGCGTGCCTGCCCGATTGCGAGAGCGCAAGGCCGCAGCCTTGGTTGAGAGCTGCGCTACCTCCTTTCCCCCACTGCCGCTCCCAAGCAATACAGCTGGAGAGGAGGAGGAGGAGGGAAGAGGCGGAAGAGAGGAATACGATAGAGAGAAAGAAAGATAGGAACCACGCCATACAACGGCACACGTCACTGCATTAATTGTGCGTCGAGGTGTATGCAAACTTCGGCGAACGATCATGTGTTGCCCGATATTCACCCATTCTTTCCCTTGCCCTTCTATATCTTGTGTTTTCTTTAGACATTCGGTGCTTGTGCGTGCAGTGGGTCAGGGAGCATTCGCCTGCACTTGCCCGCTCTAAGGAAAGAAGAAATTTTTCTGCCTGACCAAATGGCAGTGCATATTGTCACGAGCTGAGAAGATGGCCTATAGAATGATAACGACGAAGTGCCGAGCAGAATCCCATAATATCATTCGAATAGCTTTGTTTAAATTTCCAACTGCACATTTTTGAGAGAGTAGGCACGTGCAATGGGTTTGAAGGAAAACAAGACAAACGCAGCTGCAGTCCAAGGGCCCAGCACTTCGTCGTCATCATGCTAAGTCATCCTCTGAGCCTGTGACACGAAGCCGATTTTATTCTCTTCGTGAACTCGTTCTGCGTCATGGCGCTCCTCATCAGCTGATCACAGATCGCGGCCGCTGTTTTCTAGCTAAAGTATACTTGACGACCTACTGCGATCCTGCTTGACCCAGAGCAAGTTCGCTACAGCGTATCTTCCACGAACCAATGGCATCACCGAGTGACTGAACCGTACCCTGACAGATATGTTGTGATGTACGTCTCTGAGGACCACCGATACTGGGACATCCACTTACCTTTCGTAACTTTCACAAACGACTCTTCGCGTCACGACACAGCTGGGTTTTCACGTATGCTGTGTGGTTATGACCCGCCTTTACCCATGGACACCATGCTTTCTTCTGACGCCAACTCATCGACTGTCTGTGCTTGTGATGCACTGGCCCGTGCCAACATCGACCACCGAGTCACCCGAGATAGTTTAATTGCCTCGCAGGTTAACCAAAGTGTGTTTACGACCACCGACATCACGATGCCCAGTCTTCCCCGGGGTCGTGATGCGCTTACCACCACGGCGTGTTGGTCTCTGCGAAAAACCGATGTCCCGTTATGTTGGCCCTTATGACGTCACATGAAAGGTCACTCGCGTGACCTGTGAAATTGCTGCACTTCATCCCAGGTAGGCAACAGTCATGGCCGATATAGTGCATGTCTTGAGACTTCAAGCGTACTAATCACGTTCCGAGGATTGACCTCACCGGGACTGTGCTTCTGACGCCGGCGCTTAAAGTCACGGGCTGAGAACATGGCTTAGAATGATGACGGCGAAATGCTGAGCAGAACGTGCTTGGACTATCTGTATATTTCTACTGTATAAGCTCCATTATTCCAAAACTGGACATTATTTTATAAAACTACTCAATTGTAGGTCAATCCCCCACAGTGGGTATGCGCCTCGGGCAAGAGGTGAACAAGAACAAGACTGCAGCCACTGTTGTACACCTTTGCTCGCAAATATACCCCGCGTGTATATTTTCTTCCCCGTAACAATATATTCAGTATGGTCACCACAACTGTAGCCCAGACTTTTTATTTGATTTTGTTTAAATTTTCAAGCGATACACTTTGGCGCACAAGTGATGCGCTGGCTACCCTTTAGCTCATGAAGTGACCAATAAATATAGTGGGTGTGGTCTGAACCCAAACCCATGATATGATTATGAGTGACGCCGCAGTGTTGTGCATCGAATGTTTCGAGCCCCTGGGGTTCCTTAACGTGCACCTAAATGTGTGGGTTCACGGGCCTCCGGCATTTTCACGCACAGGAAAAGCGACCGCCGCGACTGGGATCCGAACGAGCACCATGACCCCTAGACCACTGTGGCGGGCCTTAAAGAGACCGAACATACCCTATGCGGAATAGGTGAGCACAGGGCATCCTCTCACGGAGGGGGTGCGAAGGCTTATCTCAGTGCCCGCCCCCTAGCAAGTCACTGTATGGGGCAGCATTTGCCTCCCCCTCCCTCATCTCTTCACATGTGTCTATAAGAGGAGAGGAGGAGAGGGGGGGGGCGCTCCTCCTAATTCGTGTTCGCAGGCCTATGATATGCAGGGTCCGAAATTTGCTCATAAAACAACGTTTTCTCCAGTAACATTAGACCGTAAAGAACACGCGGCCCGAACGATATAGGATTTTGAATAACGCCAAGACTCTCACATGTATACTACGCCTACACATTTGATAAGGCCAAGTAGCTCTAATTGCAGGCAGCTATGCTAAGGGCGACATAATACGCACACGAAAGGTGAATTGACAACCACCCGTTTGTAGCACGAAACCTCATGAAAATACCCGCGAATTCTTCAGAAAGAACGTTCTTTAGTGTCTGAAAAGTTCGTTCAGGTGCTGCTATCGAACCCGGTACCAACGCCGTTCCGAGGGGGTCGCGCTACGAATTTAACTACAACAAGGAAGTTAGCGATTGGTGGTTTTCGGCTTGCTTTTCTTAACCCTTCCGCCACCTTACGGGCTTTCGCTGAACGCGTGCAGCGTAGGACGGCCGTGTCTTAACGTTCTCGCGTTTCGCTCGTTCTCTATCTGCGAAAAATCGACCGTGCTATCCTCCTACGCGGAAATGGCAGCGCCCGTCCATATCACTGTCTTCTAATCTCGCACCCGAAACTTGGACCGGAGCCACATAAGCAGATGGGAAGTGGTCGACCGTGTAAGGTTGCCCATGATGCTCTTGCATCTTATGCGTGCGTTTCGTCCTTTATCTCGGGGAGCGCAAGCTCGGATTCAGTGGGCGCCTAGCACTCGCCCTCTGATAGCACTCGCCCTCTGATAACGTTCGGTACGCGACCCTCAAAACGTTAGCCACGGACACGTCTTTAGCGGAGCGTTTTCACACTAGGAAAACCCTACATCGCGCAAAGGTGCCTGTAAGAAAATGTAGCCTGATACGATCACGCGATGCTTAGCAAAGGTTGGCAAACGATTCAATCACTGAATCCACGGAGATTGGGTGAAGACAGTGTTGCTGTTATAACTGCGTGCATCCCACAGTTAGCCAACATCAGCCAACTCTAGCCAACGTCTACGATCAATTGAAAATCCCTATTTTTGCAACAATCACCGAAAAGTTTTAGCCATCTTTAACCAACATGCACCGCGTTTGTGTATTCGTGTACTACCAGCACTGACCAGTGATGGTAGTAGTCGAATGAATATGGTAGTTGGATTTTGTCGGGAAAATTCAGAGCACCTTGTTACGAAATACGAGTCCAGCGAGAAATCTCTGAAAGTTAAAATCTTTACATCTGTGTTTCTTTGCTTAATAGACGTTCAATTATTTCTGATCTTTTTGTGAGACCGTCTTGAGCTCATTAGTCAAGTCGGCATGAACCCGATTCTCGAGTCGAGTCAACGCCGCCGTCTAAGTTGGTTGAGTCGGCCGGTCCGGCCAAAGTAAGTTACCACGTTCTTCCAAACCGTGGAGAAAGACAAAAGTTGAGAGGATTTCTTACAGTGTGTTCGACAAAGCCGTCTGAAAGGTGAAATCATCTTATAATTCTTTGTCATCTCAGTCAACAGCTACTGTATTCAACTCTACGCTCGGCCACCTAATTTATTAACAGGGTGCATTCGCGCTAGTCTTTCTTGTCCACTCTTGCTAAACATATCACGAGAGTCTCTCATGTCTGCCAATTCCATCTCTAAATCTTTAAATGTTACTCTCTTTCTCTCTCTTAATTTCCTGACTTTATAAGGTTGCAATTAAAGTTCAGGCCTTTGAGTTCCTCAGATTCGATCTGTTCGTGTGTCCTTGTTATGCGCAGTCATCTGATGCGAGTTTGGGTCACTTATAAGCCGTGATCTGAATAAACGGAGTCGTCACTTGTTACGCATACTCCGGTTTTTATATGGTGACGCAACTCTGTTGCGTAAGCATAAGATAGCGATCATCGGATGCGTGTCCGATGCGCATGGGGTGGGAGGGCAGGCGACTGCAATCCCTCTCGCCTATCACTTAAGAGAAGGAGGGGGGTGCACGAAGTCTGCCTCATACATTGATTAAATAGGAAGTGAGGGACAAAATAATTTATAGAAGTTGATTCGGCTAATTCAAGCGATCGTTTAAGCTCGCGCACAGACAAACACATAAATGCACACACATATTCACACGCGCGCGTATAAGTATACATAAAAAATAAAGCAGTTTGTCACACCAAGACATAAAACTCTCGTGCAACCTACATATGAAGGAATCCTTGAAATGACCTTTCTATTGAGTCAAGTTTGCGAGCACTATAAAGTGATCCGAGGCTGCACGGAATAATGAATGCAGTGCCGCGCAGTGCATTACCTTGCAATCGGGGCACGCATCTCAGATAGTGGGGTGTGATAGCGTGCGTTCAATCCATGCCAAGTTCAAAGCTTCGTTGTGGATCTGATATCGCTCGATCTACCTTGATCATACATAATCAGTCTCGATTTCACAACGGCACTTGCTATATTTGTAACGGCTTTCCTGTAACGCAGCTATACACTGCGGCGCAAATGCGTAACTATATTTGCAGAGACATATGCATGACAAGGACACGTGCGTATACCATGTCTACTTAAAATTTGATTGATTGATATGTGGGGTTTAACGTCCCAAAACCACCATATGATTATTAGAGACGCCGTAGTGGAGGGCTCCGTAAGTTTCGACCTCCTGGTGTTCTTTAACGTGCACCCAAATCTGAGCACACGGGCCTACAACATTTCCGCCTCCATGGGAAATGAAGCCGCCGCAGCCGGGATTCGATCCCGCGACCTGCGGGTCAGCAGCCGAGTACCTTAGCCACTAGACCACCGCAGCGGAGCCTTGTCTACCTATGACCCTGTTTTATGGGTACGCACTCGAATTTCAAGTATCATAATTCA